TAACTCCATATTCTATCAGCTGGTCCTCTCTACACAACGGAGTTTCTGAAAAGGCAGCTATATCAATATCGTACCGTGTCAACTTCTTCGCGATTATATCAGTTCAGGATTATTAGACTCCTTGCGGTCAAGAAATGTTCTGAAGTTCCCAGGACCTGCCTTTCTTCTGTATTTTTTGTTTGAGTATCTCTTGGTTCCACCTCTTCTGGCCAGCGTCATTGTTAATCAGGCTTTAGGTCACCTTTTCTAAACCCTTCCAATGTAGTATGGGTGAATAGTGCATCCATGAAGAGTGCTGCTCAGTCGCTCAAGGCTCTGTCCAAGCATGATGCTTTTCTTTCAACAGTAACGTTAGGATAAGTCTTGAGCCACCCACGAGTAAATTCGTGAGTGCATACTTCTAACCGGTTAGATCTGTACACGTTGCCAGTCCTGTCTCGCCGTGGGGCTTGTGCTACATGTCTGTGCTACACTACCTCCATTCCCAAAACTATATATCCAGTGACAAGAAGAAGCAAGATAATCGAACAGTTACGGGGATTGCGTGTATTATTCTCATGGAGTTTAACTTCTCCCTTACGACACCCATTTCTGGCATTAACACACCGTGAAACAGACCACCGAAAACAGGTAAAGGGATTAGAGTGGTCATTTTCTTGATGGTTGGTGGCTCGGAAGCGCCCAGGCTTACTTTTCCTCAGGAATTTACTCTGAGAAGAAATACAGACCCCAACATCATAAATATATAGAGAGAAAGACATAGAAATATAAACACACATATTTTACACTCGACGAAAACAGTTCATCGTCAAATGTATCATTAATTACTATTAGAATTTCTGTTTAAACGATCAATAATAAAAACTAATCAATAAATGTGATAAAGTAATCGGGAGTAATCGCTTTTGTTTTATGATTATCTCCCCTTTGAGAAATCTTTCTTTTGTAGAGGACTATAAATAATCACTACGCTGGTATTGATTAATCTAAGCAGAATAATGTTTTTTTAAGCCTACTCTTGCTGTCTTTTGTTATTACAATAAATAAGAAAAGAATAAAAATATTGCCAAATATATATAAGAACATCGTTAAATATACATATAAGAATATTTTTTAGTGTTGTTATTGTTAAAATGTATGAAAGATAAATAATAGAAGAAACTTTACTGGACAACAGTATATATAAACAAAACAAAATAACGTTACGACTCAAAAACGTTTTTCCAACAAATTTAAAAATATTTTTTAAAACTCTTTTGTAAAAAAAAATGTTACCTTAAAACAGGAATACGCTACAAAATGTACTTTTACAGAAACGCGATATCTAAGGATTAAAATAAATTTAAAAAAATGAAAAATCTTTCTTGCGGCTTTTATTTTAGTTTTAATTTCAAGATAATAGTTAAATTTAATATTTACAATAAGCAAAACATTTTGATGTATTCCAAAACTAATTTCAATTGATTATAAGTAGTTTTTGTTTTGAAATCACTAAAAATCTCTTATTTAAACACAATTTTTATCCAACTGTCATTACAATGTAGTTCTCTTTTAAAAATCAAATATACTTTTCAGAAACTTTATTTGAGGAAGATTAGCTGACTTAAGTTTAATTAATCTGATTTGAAACAAATATTACCTATTTTAAGTTTAAAACAAAGCAACCCACACTCAACAAAATTCCATTTCAAACTATTCACAACATATTACAATGCATTTGAACATATGGTTCTGTTGTAACATTTTTTCTCTTACGCAGTCATGTACGACGTCATATAAGCACATTAAAAATTTGCGACCTGCGTCTGCTATTCCGCGACCGTTATCGTCGCATAGCAAACTTTTAACAAAATAAAAAATGTCACATTTGACGGTGAACATCTCTGTTGTAATACCCATATAACCACTCTTATGATGGCTCATGTAGGCTGAAAGCTTAGATTGACGACCAATATAATATAATAAATAAATATACAAATGTTAAAGCGGTTTTGTTTTTATTTTTTCTTGAAATTAAAGCCATTATACGACGCTTGGAAAGGCTCATGATAAATCATAATAGACATTCTGTTATATTTAACAATATATGTTTGAACAATGATCTACAGCCCCTATACACTATATATATATATATATATATATATATATATATATATATATATATATATATATATATATATACTAGCAGCGTGGACCGGTGTTGCCCGTGCTTGATTAAAAAATCGTACGACTCATACAGCAATCGCTATCACTTGACTTAAAATATTTTTGCCCTTATTGCCTTTAAAGGAGTGCCCTTTGCCGTGCTGATGTTGCTACATGCCTTACTTCTTGCCTATCTCAAACTGCGATTTTTTCTAAAATCTGTTACAAAATAAGAACTAAACAAAATGAACACAAAACGATCAGCTTTAAAAAAGGACTCGTAACTGGAAAAACCGAATGAAAAAAGAATGTTAACAACAAATACTTTTTCACACCCAACCCGGTTCTGCCGAATCAGAATCAACATTGAGTTTAAGCAAGCGAACGAGCCAATTGGAGTAAAGTGCCATGCAGATTTAAATTTTTCCCACTTGTGACGAATGCAGCTATCGGTTTTTTGCATGCTAGTTAACATCCGTGTCAGTCAGCTGTTGGCTCTCACGCTGGCCAATAGAATCTTCCTACCTATTCGTGGCATCCAGCTATAGGCTCTCACTCTGGCCAGTAGAAAATGGCCGCAAACTACATGAAAACTACCGTAGAAGCATGAAAAAATCGATTCTTTCCGCTATCGATGGGAGTTGGGAAATGCAAAGTCGGTCTTGGCGCAAATCCGTCGAAAATTGCGGCCGTGCATTCGTTACACACACACACACGTCCTGCCTTTTATAGATAGAGATATGCGTGTGTGTGTGTGTGTGTGTGTGTGTGTGTGTGTGTGTGTGTGTGTGTGTGTGTGTGTGTGTGTGTGTGTGTGTTATTTGTATACATAAGAATGATTTCATCGGTAAAACCATTCTTTTACTGAAGAAGTTCCTTCTCGAAACAATCCACGCTTTCCAGTTTGTCATTCATTTAACCATATATATTTATATCTATATAAATACAATATTATGTATGTGTCTGTATTTATGTAAATGTATGCATGTTAATTCAACGAACATGGTTAAAGATTCTATAAATTATAATCAATAAAATAAAAATTTTAAAAATCATTTTTGGATTTCTGCCTCAAGTGTTTAAAATAGCCTAATAGCAGAAGCTAACAATGACTAACATCACAGTGACAACATAGTTCAGTAATCAACAAATATTCATAACAGTCAGACAATAGGCACCTGATGTTGACCATTTGGTTCTTGGTTGAAACGTTGAATAACCAGAAGGAAAGCAAAAGTTCGAGATAATAAAAGTATACTGATAATTTCTAATCATAAAAAGAAATTTGAAAAAAAATAGGTAAAACGTAAATCTATATATAGAATTCTGAAACTTCTGTTAGTCCACCTTCTAAAATAGAAATTTCTTGACCGACCGAAACCAGATTTTGGGGAGAAGTGTGAGGGGATACAAAGTACAAGTGCTTTTATTAGGGTACGTAACTGAGTACAAAAAATTTTCTTTGATTTTTTTTTTTTCAGAAAAAACAAACGTTTTATTATTTAACATACAAAATACTCTCACTATTTTAAAAACAAGTTAATAATTAAAATAACAAATACGTATTTAATAAGAATGCAGTATTATTTTTTGCATATCTTTTCCTTAAGTTGAAGAATCCAGTTCCAGTTCTCCCTGCGTTTGCGAAAATACAAAAAATCATGAGGTCAAACTCATCGAAAAGTTGGAATTTCGCTCCAAAAAGAAATATTTACGCATTGCCAGTTGTATGTTGCATGCTCAAGAGTAAGAAATCATAAAATTTTATTCTTCGCTGTTAAAAAGGGGGGGAGAAAATTTTCGCCCTGCGTTTGCGAAACTACAAACAAATCACGAGGCCAAACTCTTCAAAAAGTTGGAATTTCGATCCAGAAAGAAATATTTACGCATTGCCAGTTGTATGTTGCATGCTCAAGAGTAAGAAATCATAAAATTTTATTCTTCGCTGTTAAAAAAGGGGGAAAAAAAAGAATTTTTTTTTACTATGAAGTGCTATAAAATCAAATTAAATTAAAGAAATTATTAAACTGCGAAGTAGGGCTTTTGTCAAAGTCGTATCCAAACAAATTCATCGATTGGTTTGCGAAATTGAACGTTATGTAGAGTTTGTAAATTTCGGCAACAAATGTTAAAAGTTCAACGATACTAAATACTGTGAAGATTTGAACACGCGTTAGCATGTTGCAAGAAATTCTAGTAAATAAAAATTCCAGTGAAGATATCATGGACCGAATATGTGAGCAACGACGAAGTTTTAGAAAAAATGGAAACAAAAAGGACACTTATATCTAATATCAGAAAGAATTGAAATTTCTACAGCACACAACGAGGACAATTTGATACTTACAGGACAGATTGAAGGCAAGCAAGACAGTGGAAAATAGCGCAAAACCTGCCTAACGAGATGGCAGAATAGATTTTAGGAGCGATAACGAAAAGAGAAACATTTATTAAGAGCTACAAAGGTCAGAAAATTGTGGAGAGCCGTGATCGCCAACGCCCTGAAGGGAAATGGTACATAGAAGATAAGAATTTACATCAATGGTTATTCATTTTCATTGTCACTGTCATCCTATTAATACGGCATAAGCATGGAATGGAGTTACTTCAGTTTTCCAGGCAGCGTTAACATATCTGAAATGTTCGTGACATGTCAGCGGTCGCCAACCACGAGGCCGTGGATTGGTACCGGGCCGTGGACCATTTGGTACCGGGTTATGGACCACTTCGTAATAAGCTGTGGAACATTTGGTACCGGGCCATGGACAATTTGGTACTGGGTTGTGGATCATTTGGTACTGGGCTGTGGATCATTTGCTACTGAGCCGTGGACTATTTGGTACCGGACTGGAGGATCATCTGGTACTAGACCGTGGACCATTTGGTAGCGGCTGTGGAACATTTGGTACCTGACCGTGGACCTTTGTATCGAGCCGTGGACAATTTGGTAGTAGCTGTGGAACATTTGGTGCCGGGCCGTGGACTATTTGGTGCCGGGCCGTGGACCATTTAGTACTGGCCCGTGGACCATTTGTTACCGGGCCGTGGATCATTTTGTACGAGGCTATAGAACATTTGGTGCCGAGCCATAGAACTTTGACCTCGAACCGTGGACAATTTGGTACTGAGCTGTGGATCATTTGGTACCATGCCGGGGATCATTTGCTACTGGGCCGTGGACTATTTGGTTGCAGGTCGTTGACCATTTAGTACCAGGCTGAGAATCATTTGGTATCGGACCGTGGACCATTTGGTATTGGGCTGTGGACTATTTGGTACCGGGAAGTGGAACATTTGGTACCGGACCGTGGACCTTTGGTATTGAGCTGTGGATAATTTGGTACCGGGCCGTGGACCATTTGGTACCGGGCTGTGGACCATTTCGCACTGGGCCATGGACTATTTGGTATCGCACAAAAGAAATAAAATTACCCCCCCACATTTTATTGTCTTGTTTATTGTGCTTTGTTATAAGTGTGGCCGACCACACTCGGTCCGTGGAAAAATTGTTTTGCATAACAGCCGGTCAGTGGCACACAAAGGTTGAGAACCGCTGACACATGTCATTAAATAAGCATATGATCTACAACCTAACATGCTCACTAATCTCTGGTGTTAGCAAGTTGAGATTGGTGATATGTGATTGTAGCATAAGTCGCTATAAATTAATCGCCCATGCTTCCAAAGTGTCTCCTAGCAACACCTCTGCAATATCCAGAATTTTTGTCGTCGTTCAGCGCTATTGCAGCTTAACACACATTTATTTATCTGCATAAGTAGACAACGAGATTAACGCTAAGACGTAGGGATAAGTATGTCCCTGGGTTCAGAGGTCGTATGATTGATGGCGAATCGTTGAAGAGAGCTGATAACTGTTAGCTCAAGCGTACTTAATTCTTTGTCAAGAAAGAAATATCAAGAAAAAAATTAAATTTGTTTTTAATTTTGGACAAGAGATTTACAAACAGCTGTAAGCAGAAAACCAGTCAAAGAAAATGAATAGTGCAATTTAATGAAATAAAAGGGTCCACGGTCAGGTACCAAATGTTCCACAGCCGCTACCAAATGGTCCACGGTCTAATACCAGTTTATGGTTTTCTCAAGAGAAAAAAAAGCCCAAGACACGAACTATAGACTTCAAAATTAAATCCGTCTTCTTCTTCTGTGTGCCGTGTTCAGTTGATTTAGTTGGCGATCATGGCTCTCCACAATTTCTTTTCTTTTGTAGCTCAATAAATTCTTTTTGTTATCTCTCCTAAACACTGCTCTGATATCCATTTATCCAAGCTCTTTACCTAGGTTACGTGTTGTTTTCCTGTGTCTCTTTTGCCTTCAATCTGTCCTGTGAAAATAGTAAATGCAATGTCAATCGTTATCTTCTGTTTTCCTGATTACTCTTTTGTTTTTGCTCCTTAGTAATGTTTATGTTTTCTAATACTTCCTCGCTCACTAACCCCTTTTGTTTTCTGGGGGGATCGCGATTAAAATGAAATAAAATATAAAGCAACGTATAACCTGGTCAGCGCCTAGATGAGTGACCGCTTGGTAATACAAGGTCCTGTAAGCTTGGATGTGTGGATAGTGTAATGGACGATGGCTGGGAATTTTTAATTGGAGAGCCGAGTTCTAATTCCAGTCAGATCCATTATGTTCACTTATGTGTAAATATACTTGGGAAAGGTATGAATCCAGCTCTTCTCCACCAGTTATGGGTTAATTAGTAAGACTTGTATCACGAAACCATTATTAACTCCCCCCCACCTCAAAAAATTCTTACAATCTAAAAATATTTCCCATCCTTAAATACCCTGAAAATTGCTGATAAGGGGTAGAAAACGAATTAATCAATCTCTGCCTATATTTCTGAGATGAGCTATTGTAATTATTTACATTGTTCGAACTTCTGTCCTCATTTTTATTGACATGTTCACGAGATTTCGACCGTTTTACACTCCGGCCTTCGTCAGGTGATTGGAATTTCCAAACGAACTCTTTATTTTGTTCACCAGAGTAGATTGCTCTAGTTCTACGTGCCACACACACACACACACACACACACATATATATATATATATATATATATATATATATATATATATATAAAGTTGCAAATTAAAAAATTATAATGTTTTTTATGAAAGTATTTATTTATTTATTCATATATATATTTGATATTTCAGATTGACCTCAATTTTTCTTGAGAAATAACTGTTTGTTTACAAGTAGCGTTCCTCGCGAGACGCGGACGTCACGTGATATGGAACGCCACTGTGTTCGAATATTCCTAACGTAAGTCTAACTGTAATAATATTTTAGATGTTGTTTAAAAAAAATAAATTTTTTTTTTTTAACTATATCTAAAAAAAATGTTTAACTATTGAAATATTTATAAAGATTTTAAATATATATATATATAAATTTGCAATCAACACCATCACTTGATAAGACACCAGAAGTTTTGAAACAAAACGGTGATGTTTTGACATGTTTATGTTATAATTTTTTAATAAAAATTATATATATATATTCTCGCACACTATAAAATGTTTTTAACATAGATATAACTTATGAAAACCTTAAAATCCATACAATATTTCCATACCATTGCTTAATGCTGCACTTTGCTAAAAACAATTAGAAACCTTTGATAAAAATGAAATTATGTATTATTTATAAAATTTCGAGGCAAAAAAATATTCGTACAAAATGTCTTTAATATCAAAAGGCTTAAATTATCTTTATTTACATAATTCTTTGTAAAGAACAATCTAGAATATTTCACAATTAATTTCTTATATAAGGTTGTCTCCGCACGCAAATCATACACAATAATTATCAACATGAGAAAAGGAAAGGAACTATCAAATTCGCAGCAAAAAATTGATCATCAAACATTGGAAGGAAGACAAAAGCTATAGTAAAATATCAGACGTCCTGAATATAACATTTACTACTATTAGTCCTGTTATTGCTAAGTATAAAAAGGTAAAAACTGTTGAGAACGAATCAAGATCAGGTGTACCACGCAAGATTTCTCCTAGATCGATGAAAAGAATTCAGCGCAAAATTCAAGAGAATCCAATGATTACTCTGAGAGAAATAGAGGAAGAATTAAAAATATCAGGTATTATTGTTACGAAGTGAACAATAAGCAATGAACTTCAGAGAAGTCAACTAAGATCGCGTTATCCACTCAAATGGAGGAACTTAATGATACCCGGTTAAAATTTGTTCGTGAGCATAAGAATAAACCTGAATCATTTTGGGAAAATGTTTTATGGACAGATGCAGCAAAAATTGAACTATTTGAGCGTAATTCAAGGACTCACGTTTAGAAAAAAAGACGGTACAGCCTTTGCAATGAACACAATCAAACGGTGAAATTTGGTGGTGGTAATATCATGGTTTGGGGATGTTTTCCTGTTAATGGCACGGGTAATTTAGAGATAATAGATGGTAAAATGAATTCAAAAATATACCAAGATGCTTTGGACTCTGATTTGTTTGGGTCAGCTTGGACTCCAAAATGAAAGGGTTTTGTAACAAGATAATAACCCTAACCATATGGCTAAACCTACGAAAAATTGGCTTATTCAAAATAATGTCGATACACTCGAATGGACATCACAATCTCCAGATTTGAATCCAATAGAGAATTTGTGGCGTTTACTAAAAATTCAAGTTAATGAAAGATTTCTGAAAAACATCCTGAACCTAAAGAGAATATGCAAAGAAGACTGGATTAAATTACCAACGGAAATTTGGAAATCATTGATTAAAAGTTACAGAAAGAGACTGATTGCTGTTGAATTGAATTGAGATATGCTACAAAGTATTAAATAGGTATTATAATGTTGTACAAATACATTTCCCGTCTCCAATTTTTTTAATTTCATATAATTTCACTAATATAACAATTTTTTTTTTGCATATTGCAGCATTAGGCCATATATTGTATGGATTATTTTAAGAAATCTATGTTTAATAAAAAAAAAAAATCATGGTGTATGAACATTTCTTTCCAAAAATTGTGTATAAATATATATAGTAATTATTAGGAGGATTTGATAATTATATTTAATTAATTCATAGAGTTTGATAGAAAACTCAACAGAATGCAGAGGACGGCCGTTTCGCCCTATATTTAGGACTCATCAGCAGTGCGCATCCACTACTGAGAATTGAAACCCTGACAGTTAGGTTGTCAAGTGAACATCATACCAACTGTTCCAAATGGGCCTCAGTGACGAAGAGATTCCAAATCAGACTCAACTTAGCGCCTCTCTAAATATATATATATATATATATATATATATATATATATATATATATATATATATATATATATATATATATATATATATATATATATATATATATATATATATATATATATATATATATATATATATATATATATATATATATATATATATATATATATATATATAAAAGTGTTTGCTTTTTTTGGGTATAAAGTGTGTAAATACTGTCCAAAATTTCTCTAGATCCGTACGCTTTCTGTTATACATTTAAATGGCGATTTTTTTTTTTTCTAACTGAATCTGTGTTGTCTTTTTTTTATGCATGTGTCTGAAGTTATAAGAATGTTTTATTTTTCAAACACAGTCAGCACATTGTGGCCGTGTTCATAGTTAATGTCATTGCCTGTTGTTTTTTTTTTCTTTTTTGTTATTAGTGCTTCCATTAATTTGAATATTTTTAGGTGTAACGTCATACCTACCCGACCATAGCACAATTAGGACTCATTTAAAAACACACGGAAACTTATCAAGTAAAAAATAAAATTATAATAGCCTCATCAAAAAAAAAAAAAAAAAGCAACACGTTTTACACACTGTGTCGAGAAAAGAAAACACTTGAACGAACACACAAAAAACAAATAAATAGCTTATTCGCAGTATATACATACATACATACATACATACATTCATACAAACATACATACATACACAAACACACACACACAAACACACACACACATATATATATATATATATATATATATATATATGTAAGCAAATATATGGATATAGATCCGACAGCATGAAGAAAAATATACGGAAAAAACAAACAAAAATCCTAATATGCAATTATGCTGTTTTAATGTTAATATAATGTCAACGTCGGACGTTTCGGTCTATTAGACCATCTTCAGGACATATTCATAAAACATAATTAACATTAGACTATATTTAATTCAACATGAAAAGACGATGGACATAAGAGTAAGACAACAGACAACTG